ATTAAGATCTTCGGCCTTTATGATTGCTTCGTGCCAAACAACTAACTTCCGTTATTGTCTAAAACTTTGGGCTGTTACCCCCTCGTCCTCGATTAATGTTAGACGTTCTAAGTTAAATTTATCCTTTCAGGATTCTTCTAACATGCAAGTACAATTAGTTTGAATGGTCTGTTCAATCTAAAAAGATAATTAAGACTCTAAGACTAAGCATACAAATATCATTCGAGAGCATGAATCAAAACGTAATTATATAGAGTAGAGGGATTAGACCCTAGAAATGAGTTTAGCCACTCATGCAGAGAACATCAAACACTAAACACTTCAAGTGTTGAGACCCCTTCATGGTTACAACAGATAGAGAATAAAACAGAGGAAGAGTAAAGTCAGGGAATATGGTAAAGTGCAGCTGACTTCGCAGAGTCAGCTTCTCACTTCCCCAAGAGACGCTCCTGAGTCAACCTTCTAGAGTCATATTCTGTTTCTACCCTACTAAACTAACTCTAATCTACTTCTAAGTTTGTATTCTGGTATTCGATGCCTTCTTCTTCAGCTATTGCTGCCTTTTATAGATGTTGGGGAGAGGGGGGGCGAGGGGAGTAATCTTTGTTTAACTGAGTTGGTCTACTCTTTACCCGATGGGTTTAAGCAAAAGAGAGGAGACCCATACTTCGTCACCTTCCTCCCTTACCTTTAATCATCTTTTGGAGAAATTTAATTGAGTAATTTAGCTTTAAGGCACATCAATCTTCCTCCAACGTCAACAGCATCACTTCACCAACGGCTCTTCTTCCTTAGCTTCGAAGGTTTGCTTCAATTTGGCTCTCCTTCCCGCCGGTTTCTTCCTCTTCTTCAGCCCTTGCACGTCACTCCCTGTAACATCTTCCAATTCAGCCTGAAACTTCACCTTTTGTCACATTTTGACCACCTTTTTGCCCATAATGCATTTCAGCCCCTGAACAAGTCACCAAATTAGCCTATAAACTTATAATCCTAACCTAATTGACTCATAATTAAAGCATAAAGAGGTAAAATATAAGCCTAAAAACATAGTACGAAATCATCATAGTTCATCTTGTAATAAACACTTCTTAAGTGATTCCGTTTATTAAATTACTATTGAGAATATTAGTAAATGAAACAAATTATACGTGCATCTTATATACTCATAAAAATTATACATTTTATCTTTGTGTTAAAACTTTTTATTTTTAGATAATCTTTCCAAATGATCTCATCCTAATTCATCTTGTAATTATAAACTCTTTCTCAATGACCTCGTAGATTGAATTATTATAAAAATATCTAGTAATTGAAACAAATTATACCTACAATTTATGTAGCTATAGAATTCACACATTTTATGATTGTGTTAAAAATTATTTATTTTAGTTGAATTTTTCCAAATGATCCTGTTTCAATTCATCTTGTGACAAGGCTAAGGATCTCTTACACTACAATCGTACAATACTTCATATTTTTTAATATTTTTTATTTAATCACTACCTTCCTTCTTTAAAAATTTTAGTCACATCTTAACCCGCCCTTGAATGAGTCCGTCCGAGCCCTATGTCAAAATCTTGATAAATAATATAGAAAGTAGTGTAAGGTTATGATGTTGAAGATCTTTTACCTTGTAATAAACTTTTCCCAATTGTGCTAAAGATTTCATACACCACAATCTCACAACACTTCTTAATTCGCCATATAATATTTTTACATTTTTTTGTTTAATTAAAAAAATTTCACTAATGCCCTAACTCACCCTTGGATAATCTATTGGGATCACGTGTCAAAATTTTGGTGAATGCTGCAGGAAATTGTGTAGGAAATCTTTTGTCTTGTAATAAACCATTCCCAAGTGATCCTTATTTTTGAAGTATTATTGAGCATATCTAGAAACTGAAACAAATCAACCGTGCATTTGATATAGCCATAAAAATAATACATTTTATATTAAACCTTTCCAAATGATAATATTCCAATTTATTTTGTGTTAAAACTTTCCCAGTAATCCTGTTTATTGAAATATAATAAAATATATTTAGTAATTGAAACAAATGATACATACATTTTATATAACAGTAAACAATCATACATTTATATTTGCATTAAAATTTATTTTCTTTTAGTTGGACATTTCCAAAAAATCGCGTTCCAATTCATTTTACAATAAGGATAAGGATCTCCAACACCATTATCCTGCAATACTTCTTAACGCACCATATATATTTTTTCATTTTTTTATTTAGTTACCATTTTATTTCTATAAAATTTTACTAACAGACCAATACACCCTTGGATGAACCCGCCAGGGTCACGTATCAAAATCTTAGTAAATAATGTAGAAAGTGATGTATAAATTTTTTTCCTATGTAATAAACCCTTCTCAAGTGGGCTAAAGTTTTTCTACACCACAATTCTACAACACTCCTAACTCACCATAAATATTTTATATTTTTTTATTTAATTATTATTTTTTCTTTAAGAATTTTACTAACACCCTAACCCACCTTTAGATAAACTCTTTGGACCACGTGTCAATATTTTGGTTAATATTGTAGGAAGTGGTAAAGGATTATGGTGTAAGAGATCTTTTACTTCTAATAAACCTTTCACAAGTGACTCCGTTTTTTGAAATACTATAGAGAATATCTAGTAATTGAAACAAATGATATGTGAATTTATGTAACCATAAAAATCATATATTTTATATTTGTGTAAAAAAATTATTTATTTTTAGTTGAGCCTCTCTAAATGATCCCGTTGCAATTCATCTCGTTATAAATCTTTCCCAACTGTCCCCGTTTATTGAATTACCATTGAATGTATCTAATAATTGAAACAAATCATTCATGCATTTTATATAACTATAAATTTAATATATTTTATATTCGTTTTAAAAAAATTTTATCTTTAGCTTGACATTTTCAAATGACCCCATTTTCAATCATCTTGTAATAAGGTTAAGAATCTCCTGCATCACAATCCTACAACACTTTCTAACCTAACATTTAATATTTTTATATTTTTCTATTTAATCACTACTTTCATTGTTTAAAAATTTTACTAACACCCTAACCCACCTTTGGATAAACCCGTTGAGATCACATGTCAAAATATTCATAAATGATTTAGGAAATGGTTTTTTGATTATGGTATAGAAAATCTTTTGTCTTTCAACAAATTCTTCCCAAATAACCCCCTTTATTGAAGGACTATTGAGTATATTTAGTAATTCAAACCAAATTTTACATGCATATTATACAACCATAAAAATCACATATTTTATATTTATGTTAAAAATTATTATATTTAGTTGGACCTTTCTAAAAAAATCCCGTTCCAATTCAACTTTTAATATACCATATCCAAATCACCCCACATATTGGATTATCTAATAATTGAAACAAACCATATTTGTATTTTATATAACCATAAAAAATCATACATTTTATATTCGTGTTAAAATTTATTTATTTTTAGTTAAAATTTTTCAAATGATCCCGTTCTAAATAATCTTGTTATAGACCTTCTTATGTGACATCGTTTATCAAAGTGCTATTGAGCATGTCCAGTAATAAAAACAAATAATACATGGATTTTATATAACCATAAATAATTATGCATTTTATATTTGTGTTAAAAATTATGTATTTTTATTAAATCTTTCAAAATGACTCATTTATAATAAACCATTCCTAAATGACCTCATTTAATGAATTACTATTGAGCATATCTAGTCATTAAAACAAATCACACAGGCATATTATATACCCATAAAAATTTATGCATTTTATATTTATGTAAAAAATTTATTTTTAGTTCCCCCATTTCAAATTATATTGTCTTTCTCAAATGGCTCTATTTATTGAAATACTACCAACCATATCTAATAACTGAAACATTTGTGCATTTTATTATTAATTATTGATAAATTAATATTATTATTTTAGAGAGTTTTTTTTCGATCCTATAAGTAAGTACATCTTAAAATTTATTATTTTTATATCAAGAACAGTTCGTTGCAGCCCTTACTATAACATTATAATTTTTGTAATCGAACAAAAGCATGAAAATTGCAAACATAAACAAGTATACTTAAATTAAAATCTAATTTATTATTTTAGTTATTTATTAATTTATTAAAATCTTGAAAAAAATTTATCTTAGAAAGCAACCGAGTTTTTTTTTTTTTTTTGCTACTGGTCCTGAGTTGGTATACAGAGAAAATATTGTTTAATAGAGATTCCTAATTTATATAAGATTAATTTTATGAAGGTTTATTACTAATTAATGAAAATATTTATTCTTTATTTGGATTGAATTATGATCAAAAGTTACGTGAACAAAATCGCATGAATCATTGCTTTAAAGTTGACGATCATAATATGGGATTATTGAATATTTACCTCATATGGCATAAGCTTAAGTACAGATCAAAAAAATAACGTGTTGTAAAAATATGGATGGTTGTTAATTTAATTTAACTAACTTATAATTATATTTTACACTTTAATGAAGGACCAATAAATTTATGAAATATGGCACAATCTACCCACATTCACTCTCCGAACGACACGTCTTAATTGAAAACTTTACTTTAATATATATATATATATATATATATATAGATTTTGAACATAAATTGTTTGGACGGAAGGAGTACTATTGTATCGGTTATTTTGTGACTATTCACGAGAAATCTAAGGATATATTTAGATCAATTTTTTTTTGTGTTTTTAAGTATTTTTTTCCAATAGAAATTAAAAAAGTGTACTCGAAATACAAAAAATGTATATTGGAGTGAGACATTTATTTAAGAAATATTTAGGGTATAAAAGTTAAACCATATTTGAGGAGAGAAATTTTGGTCTTCCGTACCATAGAGCATAAATTCTTACAACTACCTCACCATCTTTAGAGTTTTTTGTTTTTTTTTTTAAAGGACCATCTTTAGAGTTAGGACTACATTTCTATTCTCGTTTGTTTCAAAAAACCCCATTAAGACACAACAGCCTATATATGTCTATCTATAATCTAACGCCCTATAATCCCAGAAGACTCTGTCTCTGTTTCTCTCTCTCTCTCTCTCTAACTTTTCCTCAGTGTACGGAAAACCTAAACAGAGTATAGGCTTACGAAGATAGCTTTCTGTTTACTGAAAAAAGAAGAAATTCAAAGTCCAACCCTCTTTAATATAGGTCTGAATTAAAAAGATCCCTTACACATTATTATTAATTTTCTCTTCTGATTCTTCTGGCCATCATCAGTAAAACGTCTTGAATGAGAGAAAACAACATCACACAAGAAAAAACAGAGCAACTTCCTCCTCCCTTCATCATTATAAGTACCTCTTCTTCTTCTTGATTTAGATGTATGAAGAAGAAATGTGGAACGCAGATAGTATTAATAATCTCATGATCTCAGAAAGTTGTTGTTATTCGAATAGTAGTACTAAGAGTTCAATGAGGAGTAGTACCAGTGACAGTAGCAGCCATTGCACGAGCTTCAGCCGCCTCTCCTTTGAGCTTCACACCACTTCTTCTTCCCCTGAAAATTACCATAATCACACTCTGAAGCCTCACCGTTCTTCTGACTCGGCGTCTTTCCAAGCCCTCCGTTGCGCCGCCGTTGGCGGCCGCCGGCCGTTGAGTTTCCGGGATTTCAGCCTGATTCGGCAAATTGGGAGCGGAGATATAAGCAGAGTCTATCTTTGCCGGATGAGACGGCGAGGCAGGGGAGCTGATGAGGAGGATGATGATAATGGGGGTGTTTATTATGCAATGAAAGTTGTGGATAGGGAGATTTTGGCGAAGAAGAAGAAGATTGAAAGAGCTGAAACGGAGAGGAAAATCATCAAAATGCTGGACCATCCATTTTTGCCCACTCTGTGTGCTGAATTTGAAGCATCCCATTTCTCTTGTCTGGTCATGGAATATTGTTCCGGTGGGGACTTGCACTCTTTGAGACACAAGCAGCCTCGCAAACGCTTCTCCATCACCTCCTCAAGGTATTCATAATTCATATTTTTCTCCTTAATAGTAGATCAAGATGATGGTTGGTTTTTTCTGTTGAAAATTTTTCAGAATGCTGAAGTGATTGTGGATTTTTTGGGCGCCAAATGAGATGGTTTTTTTAACTTCATCAGGAAAAGTACTATGATTCTTTGCTGGGATATGCCCCATTTGTTTCCTTTCCTCATGATAATGTGAATGTGCTCATTTCATGTCAAGTCCATTCATCCTCTGCAGAGGAATAAACAGAAAAGATTTTTTAATAAAACAGGGGGTTCGCAGACAAATGAAAAGTATCTTCAAATTTGCCCAGTTTCTTTTTAGTCCTGTAAACTTTTTCCGTTTATGCATCACAAAAATTTCCACTTTTATGTTTCAGTTGTTTTGGTCAATCTTGATTCTGGGTTTAAAATCTTAAACACAATTTGATCAATCCAGCAGTTTTGCTACCAAACCAAATTTCAATCTTGTAGCCCAACTTTTTAGCATTAATCCCAACAAAAAGTAACAATTATTAATCTTACCCTTTTCACAGATTTTATGCAGCTGAAGTCTTGGTGGCACTAGAATACCTACACATGCTGGGAATAATATACAGGGACTTAAAGCCGGAAAATGTGCTGGTGAAATCCGACGGCCACATCATGTTGACGGATTTCGATCTCTCCCTTTGCTCAGATGCCACCCCAGCCGTCGAGTCGCCGGAATCCGTCTCCGACCCGCCGTCTTCGCCGACGATTACCGGGAGTTCCCGTACGCCGATGCCGTTTTCGTGCATCTTCTCCGGCTGGTTATTCCGGTCAAGGAAAGTCCAGACGACGACGGCGAACCGGATGTTTGTGGCGGAGCCGGTGGCCGCGCGATCCTGTTCCTTCGTGGGGACCCACGAGTACGTGGCGCCTGAGGTGGCGTCCGGTAGGTCCCACGGGAACGCCGTGGACTGGTGGGCCCTGGGGATTTTCATTTACGAGATGATCTACGGGCGCACCCCATTCGCCGGACCAGCGAACGAAGCTACCCTGCGGAACATCGTGAAGAAGCCGTTGGCGTTCCCCACCGACGCTCCGAACAGCGTGGGTGAGTTCCACGCGCGGAGCCTGATCGCCGGATTGCTGAACAAGGACCCGGAGCGGCGGTTGGGGTCCAAACGCGGGGCGGCTGACATCAAGACCCACCCGTTTTTCAAGGGGTTGAATTTCGCGCTGATCAGGTCGATGACGCCACCGGGGATGAAGACAAAAACGACGACGTTGTTCGGTGATGACCGGTGGCAGTTTACGGCGCCGTTTGACTTCTTCTGACTGTCAGCGGCGGTCCCCCCAGCGTACAAGATTTTTGCTTAACCCGACAGAATTTTACTGAACAAGACATATTAGGAGTAATTAATTAGTAGTATCAGTGTTATTTAGTAGAAGTAGTAATTAAATTAAGCATTTTGATTCAACTAATAATGGAGTAGGCAGAATTTTGTGAATATAGGGAATGATGATGATGTTGATTAATCATAGGAACCCCTGACGGTACAACAGTTGGCTTCAATGCCACCTAATAATTTGATCAATAATTTTATAATGTTAGCTTTTTGTTATGTGGCATCAATCAAATATATCACACGTCTTGTCTTAGTGACTCCCATAAATTTAATTCAATAATTCAATTTGCAATCTTAGCAAACACTATTATTACCTATAATAACAACCGAAGAAGCAAATATATTTTAAAAAATACGAGAATTCAAATAGTAGATTATTATAAAGTTTGAACTGTATCGTTGATATACAGTTAATTAGATTGAGTTTGTATACGAAAGTTTCACTTACGAGTTCATTTCCACGACGAAGGTGTATACTCGTACTAAAATGTAACGTTTGACTCTCAAGAGCGGACTCATCAGAGTAAATGAAGTCATCATTATGATCCGGGAACGTTTCCGGTGTAAATATCACCATTCTTTCAAAGTAGATTGATTTCATTTCGAATTGCGCCAAGCACAAGCTTACACATCTCTAGAGTCACAATGTATTCGTTTTCAAAACCTAAATTTTTAGAATCTATATATTTTTCCGTAATGACAAATTCTTAAGTTCGATGAGTACTTCTCTTCTCCTTATACACTCCACTAAGCAATATAGTAGTAAGAAGAATGCACTGAAAATGTACAGAAACACGCGCCAAGAATGGGGATTATTCTTTATAATTTAATTTTGACAATTCATTCAGACAAAAGTAAAAAAATAAAAAGAGAGAGAAGAAAATAAGGTAGGGACAACACATGGAGCGTTCATGTGAACACCTGCCAACCAGGCAGCCTTACCAGCTGATTTCAAAGCCATGTCCCCTTCTTGTCTCAAAATACTCCTGACCCCACCCCCACTCTGGGCCCCGCTACTCCGACCCAATCAGCTTTGCGCCTTTGCCAGAGTTTGCTTATTGAAATTTTTGTCCACGTTTTATGATTTCCCATCATAAAGCTGTAATTTGAGCTTTGGGGAAGAAAAATAAAATAAAATACACAGATGCTACTCATTAAGGTTTGTTATTGAAATTGTACATAGATGAACATACAAGTTTCAAATGGAATAAATGTGGTGGTGATGATGATGGTTGGTTTTGGGAGGAAAGAGTGAGAGGCTGTTTCTATTGTTACGTTGATTTGTGTTTATAGTTTTATGTGTTCAAAGTTTGTTTGGAGAAAAAACGAGTTTAAAAAGTTATTCCTCCGTTCCACAAAAATAATTCACAGTGAGTTTTAAATTTTGTACTATTTTTAGTACAAATTTAAAAACTCAATGTGGACTATTTTTATGAGATAGAGATAGTAATATATTACTTTTATAAATTTTCATCAACTCTCATTGATCCTTGTTATGGTGGTAATAGTTATAGCAGCAACAACCATTGATCGTCATTGTAATGGTAGCAACTATAGCCACGATCAATGACAACTAACGGTGACCAGATTTGATTGTCATAAATGATTAAAAAATAATAAAAATATGTTGTTTTAAATCCAAATATGTAAGTTGTTTCTTAGGTATCACAATTTGATAGAAATTTAATCTTATACTCTCATTAGAAAAAGATAAAAGTCATGTTTATTGTAATTTTAATTTACAAATATGACTAGTTTTGTCATATTGTGCACCTTATATATAAAATTATTATTTTGACTCATGCGAATTCGAGCCAAAAGTTAAATATGATGTAGATACGGTCACCCTCTCGAAAGAAAGAAGAACTGATCCTGATTTTATTTTTTTCGGTTTCCGATAGGGACAATGGTGTAGATACGGTGTCCAACAAACAAATAATGATCATACTTTGGGTGAGTTTCCGATAATGGCAATGCAAGCAATCCGACATCTATAAAACACATGGCGGTGTTCATGAATCGTGTTTCTAACGTCACATATTAATTATTATTAAAATTTCGTTAAGTCATATAACAATGTGACCATTTGAAGTGAATTCATATTGATATAACTCAAACTGAACAAATCTAGTATAAAAGGAAAACTCTAGTAACAAATATCTATAATCACGGTTGCAAATTCATGCCCAAATCTAATATTATGACTCCGATTTTTAATGAAAGAGCAACATGATAAGCCACATTTTGTGGTGGAAGGGAAACTATTATCCTGATGCCTTAACCACATTTTACTCTGTTAAATTAGGGGATAAATGTGGACATCAAGTTGACATATTTAGTGAGATCCAAAATTAGCATACATAACTTCTTCAATTTAAAACCATCGTTGTTTCCCAAAAATTTGGCCCCCTTTGAGGTGCAACTATCAATAAGACTGTCGATTCCCTCTTTTCCCTTTATCCCACATATTCACCACACCATACCACATTTGTAAGAGACTTGCAAAGTTGTATTTCCCAAATAGGAAAAATGGAGGTGCCACTTGTTTTTAACAAGTAACCACTTTTTTCTTGTTCTTCATTTGAGGGGGAAAAAAAATAAGAAAAGTTAGGGTTTCCACCAACATGGGACAACTAAGATCTTGATCTTTTGTTTAATTAAATGTGTTTGACTTGGTTGTCAACAGACACTTATACACCACTTGGTTTTGGAGTAACTTGTGCCTTCGTTTATCAGACTCTATTTTATTTAAACAAGTCCTAAATCTAATACATCGATGGGTGAAGTGAGATTCGGAGAAGTTGAGGATGCTACCAACTAGATTCCATGTGTTTCTTCCGTTGTTTTTATCAATACACGTATCAGATTAAATCTTCTATAACACTTTGACATTATATTTGTGTAACGCTTCTTATAATTTGATGGTGATAAACCTTTTATAATAATTTCATATAATTCTCACTTTACCGTTATTAATATCTTGTCATGGGGAATGTACATTTTACTAAGCATTTGGATTTTTTAAAATAGTTAATTAGGTAGGGTATTATAGTTAAATCTTTAGAAAGCATATTACGAGTATTAAAAAAGTGATTAGTTTTGAGGTAGTATTAAATAAAATACTATACATGTACTTTATCTTACTATTTGTTTACACCTTAACAAAAAATAATACATAAATTCAATAATAAATATTAAAAAAAGTGCGTCAAATAAAATGTACAGTACAATGAAAAGTGTCTCCGACAATCTTTCGTAACCTTATCACATGTACAAGATGATCATCAACATCAATCAACTGATCTTCTCGTGGGGAAGCATTTTATGAAATTTTTGAGGTTAATTAACTAAGTCAACTGGTTGCTTAATTTGCCTAATTAATTAAGATAATCAGTTACCTTGTGACTTCCAATGCATAGGGATACTGTCTGTCCCCACCAGCACTAACCATGGGTGAACAATCAGTTTTTATGCTGTTTAATTGTTGGTTCATCAAACACAAACTTACGCAATTTACACATAAGATTACATTTGTTTATACATAAATGAATTGATGATATTCCTACAATCTGGCAGTTGTTCAGTATGTTGAGATCTAATGGCAAAGGAAGAAGTGGCGTAGCTACGGTGGGGAATCTAATAACCCCCGATCAAACATTTCTTTCCAGGTCAGTTGAATTAAAATTACACGTTTTTATGCAAAAACATCTGTGATGCTTTCTATGTTTTTAACAGCACTATATTATCGAAATAGAATCAGTAAAAAAAATTACCAATATTTTTATGCCATGGCTATTGATTCTACAAACTTCATACTACATGATACTCAAGGTGAACGTGATAACTTAATGGTTAATCATCTTTAGATCAAACGGTTACAATAATTTTTTTTTTTATTATATAACTATCACTATTATTTATTAACACTACCATACAATGAAATCCAAAAGGGCACTACGTATATAGTGGCTCTCTTTTGTTTGAGACTGCAACGAACGTTTATCAATTCATTTTAATAATATTTACCATTTTTGGGAATACTAGCTAAAAAAGTTGTAGATGAGGCGACATGTTACATGGGAAAATTAAAATTCGCTTAATTATATGTGAATGATATTTCGCTGGCAATTTTTACTTTTTAAAATGACAAAGATACCTAAAACAAAACCTTTTTTTAAAACATAAAATTCAACAACCCTTTCCAAGCATTTTGAGAGGGTATGCATGCAGCTATCCTATGACTTAAACCCTCTTACCCATTTTTTTAAAAATTAATCAATCAACCAAAATCAAGTTATACATAAGCTGACTCTTTGCTTTCATGCATTCCAGTCTTCATCTTCACCAGTGTCTATCTCATCAACTCCAACCAGAGCCATTATGGGAATGTTGATCCTTGCTTGACCTTAGGTAATTCAGTTAATGACATAAGATTGATGATACTAGCTATATCATTTTGGAATGCTACTATACCATTAATTTACTCTATAGATTATTTTTCTGCAAATGAGTCAATGAAACTCCTTATCACTCTACGTCATACTAGCTATTCGGTGTTTAATTTTCCATTTCTAATGTTATTTGATGTATAGACAACAAGGATAGTTCTTTTTTACTCTCTCCATTTTGAAATATATGTCATTTTAGGGTTTGATAAATTTTTTTAAATATATATCGTTTTCAAAAAACGAGGTACATTTGACCATTTTTTACCAGTGTTACTGTTGCCTTGGAAATGAAACAATATTTATAATGAATTTTTATTGATTTGTGATGAGTTATAGAAAAAGTAAATAAGGATATTTTTATATTTTAACTACACTAATTAATGTCTTCTTGGTTTTGATGAATTCTCTATAAATACATATAAAAAAGAATGGAGTAAACTTTTTTTTTTTGTGCTGTACTTCTTAATTAGAGAAGTTAATTTCGCGTAACAGTCGATTTTAATCTTTGATGATGTAGCTAAAAAGAGAACTCAATTAATTGCTTAATTTCTATTTATATCAGCATTCATTATCGCCACTGTCTTTTTTTTTTTTTTCCACCACAACATATTTTCCACCTTCTTTTCCAAACAATTGGAACTCAGAAATTCTTTCTAGATCCCATTACTTCGTAAAAGTTTGTAGTTTCGATCCCGAACTCGATCTTCTATCACTCTGTTGAACAACTCCGTCTCAGAAAAAATAATACTCCCTACAGTATTTAGTATAAAATATTTTGATTTTGTCTTAAATTTTACCTAATACGCATTTGTAA